TTTTGAGAGTACACCAAAGCCCAAACTGATGGAACCTGCAAAGTTCACTTCCCCCCTTGAGTTTCTTGCATCCCTTATTTCTAGGGATGGAGATATTCTTGTCCATGATCTTAATAGCTTATTCCTGTCATCAAACATGAGCTACAATGCAAGGAATGGTCTAGATGCTTGAGCTTCCTCATTATCAAGCATGTCCTAAATTTGAAAACCAAATACTTACTTTTTATCATACCATATCATCATTTCAACTTTATTTCAACAATTTGAGATCGGCTACATGAATCTTGTTTTACTATTTTGCTCTATCAAAGATCGTACCTACAATAAATCACCATATTATAGTTTATTAACAATAAAGTACATCTTATCTCAACCACCCGTTGTTGAAATTGGGCAATTGATGTGAACCATCCTCTTCTAAGTGTTCATCTCAACCATATTGTTGAGTTGATGTGTAGTATGTTGTTTGTAAACTACATTTATCATAAGAAAAGAGCCTGGGCTTAGTTAGTTAGCGCCTGACGATTTGCAACGCTATGTCTTAAGCTCAATTCCTACTAAGGGTAAGGACTCTCTCCCCATTGACTCAAAAAAAAAAAAAACCATTCATTAAATCCATGTGGTTAACTTTAACCAGCTGTATGAACCACACATCATTAAAAGTGCATGGGATACAGACAAGCTACCTGCCTACATATCTATGTTCTTGAAAACATTGCTTATTATTGCAACTTTGAAGCATAATTCTTGAATTTTACAATTACTAGTTTGACTATGTTGAATTTTACAATTACTAGTCTGACTATTTAAAAATGGAGGTCCCTTTCAAGAGTATTGCCACAAGTGACTAAAGCAAAGTGGTTGATAGAAAACAATGATGAATGGCTCCAAATTTCAAAAACCCTTGTACAACGAAAACCATTGAGATATTATTAATCAAAGGTTGAAAAAGGAAAGAAAAGTAGTTTATGAGTCGGAGGACGCATTTCTACATTTGTGTCCCTTGAAGTATAAATATCTATTTTTTTAAGATGGATGTAAAGTTATGGTTGTGGTCCCTCCTAAAAAAAAGAAAAATCTAACGGTTCTTCAAAAATTATATTTTTATTTTTTAAATTTTAATGATCTACATATTGGAGACTATAAATATGTAAAAAATCAGGTCCAAATTCAATCTAAAAATTAATAAAAAAGAGGGGCTGCATATCTGCATGTGAATCCTAAAACTCATAAAAACCCACCAAAAAAACAAAAAAAAACAAAAAAAAGAAGCAAAAAAGCAAAAAATTAATGCCGAATGCCATTTATACCCTCGTCTAATGTGGAAATGAATAAACTTGCCTTGTCATTTTAGAATGACAAGTTCCCTGCTCTTCTTGAATTAGGAGTATTGTACGATTGATTTGCGAGTCTTTCATTACGATCGTGAAAGCTTCATACATTATTTACCATTGCTATCAAACCTTAAGATTTTAGATATAAATTGAGGTGAAGAGAAGCCTGGTCCTACTGCTTTGTTTAGATTCAGGTATGCCTCGGTCGAAGCTTCGAGCTGTTTTGGCTAGAAAAGAAATACTGATAT